GAGTACAGTGGCCACTCCCGGCCACCGCAGCCGCGACCTGCTGGGCTCCGGCGATCCTTCCGCCTCAGCCTTCCGAGTAGCCGGAATTATAGGCATGTGCTACCACGCTCGGCTGAGTTTTTGATTTTTATTGTAGAGATGAGGTCTCGCTCTTCAGGCAGGTCTCGAACCTGCGGGCTCAGGCAATCCACTCACCTCAGCCTCCCAAAGGCACGGGATCACAGGCTGAGCCACCGAGCCCGGCCCACAATGAATAATGTATGTGGTATTATGTTAAGAAGGAGTTTGGCTGGGCACACTGGCCCATGCCTGTAATCCCAGCACTTTGGGAGGCTGAGGTGGAAGGACTGCTTGGAAGTTGAGACCAGCCTGGTCAACATAGCAAGACTTCATCTCTACAAAAAACAAACAAAAAAATTAGTGACGCACACCCGTAGTCCCAGCTACTTGGGAGGCTGAGGCAGGAGGATCGTCTGAGCCCAGGAGGTCGAGGTGTGGTGAATTGTGATCGTGCTCCTGCACTTCAGCCTGATTGGGTGACAGAGTGAGACTGTCCAAAAAAATATCTAAAATAAGAATGAAAAAGGAGTTAAGTGCTATAAAAAAAATTAGGGTAAGGGGAATGGAGGGCACAGGTGGCAATTTCAAAAGGTGGGTTGGGACAGGCATCTTCAAGAAGATGACATTTGAGCAAAGACTGGAAGGAGGAGCGGGGTTAGCCATATGCGTTGCTCAAAGGTGCAGGCAGACATGCCTCTCTGGTGCTTGGAGTGCCCGACCTCCCGGGCGTGTCTCCCTCGCTGTCTACCCCCGTTGAGGAGGGCTGAGAGAGGGTGACTCAGAGGCTCCCCAATTCAGGTTCCAGTGCTGAGCAGGTGGAGTGGCCCTCTGAGCTCTTGACACGCTGCTCCCCCAGGAAACCGCATCCGCACGGTGACAGGTCTGGACCCCCAGAAGATGGTCAGCCTGCACACACTGGAGCTTCGGGGGAACCAGCTGGAAAGCACCCTGGGAATCAGCCTGCCTAAGCTGAAGAACCTCTACCTGGTAGCTCCTGGGGCCTGGGAGTGTGCAGGGAAGAGGGCACGGTCTTGGGCGTCTGCACACCTGCGTCCTAGAGGGCTCGGCCCTGACTGCATCTTCGTACTGGTGGCTGGTGTCGTTTCTTGAGCCCTCACTTGGTGCCAGATCCTGGCAAGACGCAAAGCTCAGACAGACGAGTGCGCACCACGAGTAGGGCTGATCATGCAGCATGATCGGGATCACACAGAAGCCGTCTGCTGTGGTGCAGATCGCAGCAGCACGTGCCGTGATTGAGGTTCAGACATCGGGTGGGGGAGGCCCCTGGATGGTGGAGGCTTTCGGGCCCCTGGGCTCCAGCATGGTGCCGCTGCCACTTCTCAGTGGAGGAGTGGGGCTCCTGGCCCGGGTGGTGGGTGGGTGGAAGCAACTCCTTCAGCTGAGGTGGCTTTCGGGGTGAGCAGAGGGGCTTCCTGCGGACCTCCTCTAAGGCCGCAGCTTCTCCTGGGCGCTGCTCGCTGTGCTGCCCTCTCGCCACCACCGCCCTTTCCTCCAGCCCCTCCGCCTCTTGGAGCCCCTCCTTTGCATCATCCCATTCTGACTTCTCTTCCTCCCTATCCCTGCTCCCCTCTCCCCATCAATCTCCTGTGTCCTGGGGTCTAGGCCCAGAACATGCTGAAGAAGGTGGAAGGCTTGGAGAACCTAAGCCAACTCACCACTTTGCATCTTCGAGACAACCAGATTGGAACTCTGAGCGGCTTCTCAGGGGAGATGAAATCACTGCAGTACCTCAACCTGAGGTACGTGCCCCTCCCCGCCCCACCGTGCCCCAGCCCTGACCAGGCGCAGCTTTTGAGCCTGGGTTCTTCCCTGGCCCCATCTCCAGGCCGGGCCACTGCTAGATCCTCAGCCCTGCCTGCCTTTCTTCTGCACTGAGTCCTGACTCCAACACTAAGCCCATGACCCCTGAATCCTTATTCATTCAACCCACAACTACCGAGAAGGTGCTGTGTGCCAGGCTTTGTGCTGTGTTTGGGGAAGATCTAAAGGAATCAGAGGTGGTCTCTGGTTTTTTTGTTTTGTTTTTTGAGCTGGAGTCTCACTCTGTTGCCCAGGCTGGAGTGCAGCGGCACGCTCACGGCCACCGCAGCCTCGGCCTGCTGGGCTCCGGTGAGCCTTCCGCCTCAGCCTTCCAAAGAGCTGGAACCACAGGCATGCGCCACCACGCCTGGCTAATTTTTTCATTTATTGTAGAGATGAGGTTTCACATGTTGCCCAGGCTGGTTTTGAACCCCTGGGCTCAGGCAATCCTTTCGCCTCCACCTCCCCAAGTGCCGGGATTACAGGTGTGAACCACCACGCCTGGCCTGGTCTCTGTTCTTAAGCGGCCACAGTCTGGCTCCAGCTCTCCTCCTGACGCTACCCCATGTACATTTCCACTGCACTTCCCCACTTCCCCTTCTCATCTTCGATCTCTCTTCTGAACCCCACCTGTAAGGCTTCCTTAGTGATATAAAACACAAAGTGTGCTCAGATTTGAGGCCAGAAGAGTGTTTGAGAGAAAGTCTCCATGTAGAAAGGCAGCAAAGACACCGACTCTTTTTTATTTGTATTTATTGTGCATTTTCTGGGTACACTCATCCTCGAGAGGTCCTGAGAAAGCATGCCCCTCTCATCTGATGGATTTCACATGTGTTTCTTTAAGCCAAGGTGTAAGGAAACCGCCTCTGTCCTTAGTCACCAAGACAGACCTTGAGCTGGCAGCGGAGAGTCTCCAAGTAGGGAGAGGTGGTTGTACCTGGAAGCCTCAGTGCTCACCTTGACCCTGGGGCTCTCTCTGCCTCACTCACTGGTGGGGTGTGCAAGTGCTGCTTTCCTGGTACTGGTCAAGACAGGATTATGGCCCCTTCCTTAGTGGCTGTTCACTGGGAGGTTTGGAAGTAAGTGGGGTGTGCATGTCAGGGGACGTGGTTTCCTCATGGACTGGGAGGTGCCTCTGGCCGAGATGCCAAACACCCGGCAGGGCGTGGGACAGTCCAGCACCCAATGCCTGCATTCTCTCGGGGAGAAACTGCACGAGGCTCAGCATGCCCGTGGAGGTCAGGCCGGAACACTGAAAGACGACGTCATCAAGCCTTGACGACAGGCCACAAAATAAAAACGGTATCATACAGCGAGGCCCAACATACATACATACAGTGAGGAGTAACATACATAGGCGAAACTGGCAAGCGGCAGGTCCTCTGGGGTGGCGCCCCCCACTCCAGCTCCTTTCTGGAGGGAGCACCCGCAGAGCGCCCACCACCCTGACCCTGCTCGGATCCCAGCTCCTTGCTCCCAGACCTGGGCACCTTCTAGCCTGTTAGGTGTGACTGACACCGCAGAGGCGATGGCCCTCTCCCCAACCACAGGACAGGGCTGTGGCCTGGTCTTCCTGCTCCAAAAGGATCAACGGACACGCCACAGAGTCGAGTACAGCACCCGGGGACTCCTCGAAGGGCAGAAGCAGGCCAGGAGTGGGGCTGGACCGCAGCTCTGCAGCAAATCTGGCAGTGCTTGGCAGCCGGTCCTCATCAGTGTTTCTAGGGACCCTGGGCCCCAGTGAGAGTGCCCCAAAGGCCCCATTCCTGGCAGCTGGCAGCCACAGCCTGTTATTCCTGGGTGAATCTCTCCTGTTGCACCGGCAGGGGCAACATGATATCCAGCCTGGGGGAGCTGGCCAAACTTCGGGACTTGCCCAAGCTTCGAGCCTTGGTGCTGCTAGACAACCCGTGCGCAGACAAGGCGGACTACCGCCAGGAGGCCCTGGTGCAGATGGCACACCTGGAACGCCTGGACAAGGAATTTTACGAGGAGGAGGAACGGGCTGAGGCCGAAGAGATCCGTCAGAGGCTGAAGGAGGACCAGGGGCAGGAGGCCGAGCCTGAGCACGACCCGGGACTAGACCAGCCCTTGGGCCGAGAGCCGGTCTAGCTGCCCAGGAGAGCGAGGCAGCTGCGGGGGGCAGGTGGGAGGCCAAGGCGGAGGGGCGGGTGTGGCGGAAGGAGGTGGGGGAGGAAGGGATTAGGCCCGAGAACCCGTGGAGAGACCAGCGGAGGAGAAAGGAGCCGAGGGGCCGGGGCTCGCTGGGGACAGGCCTCGGAGATGCCTCAGGAGGCCGGAAGAGTGGGGGGAGAGCCGGGGTGGCAGGCAGCGGGGTTGGGGCCGGATGCCACGTCCCACGGCAGTGCGGCCTGCAAGGAAAGGCTGGGGGCGCCGCGGGAGGAAGGTGGAGGGTGTGTGCGCGAAGGAAGCTGAAGCTGGCCCAGGAGAGGGTCGGAGGAAGAAAAGC